TATATTTTTTTAAAATAATTAAGGATGGGAAATTCAGGATTTGTGGGCTTTGTTGGTTTTAAAGGAAACTTGCAAGACTCGGTCTCCCAGGCGGTACCCGTTGAGGCTGGCGATGGCCATGGCGGCCTCGTCATAGTTGGTCATGGTGACAAAACCGAATCCCTTGCACTTGTTGGTGTTGAAGTCGCGGATGACCTTGACGTTGTTCACTGCGCCAAAGGGACCAAAGAGCTGCCAGAGGACACTCTCATCGGAATCGGGGGAGAGGTTGTAGACAAAGATGCACCAGCCTGTTCCTGTGTGACCAGGGATGTTCATTCCCACAAGACTTGTCATCCCATCAATGGTGATTGGGGAGAACCTGGGGGGACAAGCAGAAGGGGGGACTGGTCCAGACATCAGTCTGACCAAGGATAACACAGAGATGCACAGACACAGACACGGGGCAAAGGGCTGAGTGAGTGTTTGCAGGAGAGTCTTCAGGGTTTAAAAACCAAAATGCAAAAACTCATGTCTGTGGCATTTCCTCTGATGGGAATGGCTAGGTTGGCTGAGGCACGTATATGTTAAGAGAAAGGCCTAGGTCAGTTCCAAAAAACCACAAGGAACTCCCATAGCAAGGCTCTATCATAGTTCTAGCACAGAATATGTTCATAGGGTATCCACCCTGACCCTTATCCTCCCTCCCCACGGTAGACAGTGAGTTCTTGGGGAAGGGGCTTGATTTCATTCATTCTGTTGCTCCACTTATTTATTCAGTGAAGCACATATAGGAATATCACATAGTGACATGTAGAAACTCAATAAATGTTTATTGATTGAATGAGTGAGTAACATTGGTGGAAGTCAAAACTTGGGAAATTTTATTTAATTTTTAAGGTAGATTAAAGGATGACTCTAGAAGTGCTGAAGTCTTCTTCCCTCTTGCTTAAAAACAAATAACAAGACAAAACCAAAAATATCATCGTATAGATTCTTAGAAGGGCAAATCCATGTCTAAGTGTTATTTGCATTATTTCTGAAGACTGTCTTCACCTTTTCTCTTCCAACCGAATGAACTGACCTCACTCAAGTTTATAGGTAGAGAACAGTTAAGTGTTTATGTTAAGGCCAAAGTCAGGGTCAGCAAAGAGGTTTCAATTCTAGTTGGTTATGGCTACCTAGAGTACTTTGGTAGAAAGGATTCTGGGTCCAAATTTGGTTTAACAGGACAAGAGAATGAATGCTTTTATCAACCAGTGATGTTTACTGGGGGTGGGGACCTGGAGGAGGTGGCAGCCACGCATGCTGCCTCTGTGTCTTTCGTGGCCCCCTCTATGTATGGGCATCTCTCTCTCTCATCATATTATCTGCTAGAGGGTATCAAAGGTCAGGGACAAAGAACTGGGAAAAATGTAAAACGCGTGGGAACAGGCAAGCAGTGTGCTAGGCACCTGGAGATCATCCCCTTCCTGGTACCAGGACTGAGATTGGAGAGACCAGAGCTCTGATAGCGGAGTCTGCTGTCAAGGTAACATCCTTCACTGTGTGCCTGTTCCCATGGTCGGGATACTTACGATGCATGGCCAAGGGAAAGAAATGCCTCGCGCAGGGGGTGTGGTGTGGACTATTAAAGACCGCATCTCCTTCCCTTGACTGTAGGAAGGGGAATTACAGTGTGCAGCTCTACTGAGCAGGATGATGAAGATGCTATGTCCCTAGCAGCTCAGTGGGGCTTATCAAAAGCACATTTGGGAATCTCATGGACACAGTGACATAATGCACTCGACTTCCTGAGATCAGCTTTCAGATTGGGTCTGGAGCACCCGTGTGCTGCATTCAGAGAGCTCTAAAAGCTTTGACTCTATTTCAGCCCCCGAACTCACAAACAGGCTTTAAGTGAACAAAACAGCAAGTTTAAAACACACATACATATATAATCACGGGAGGATTGATAATAACTGTTAAAACCTGTAACAAAAAACACACAAAACCCTGGTTGAGGTGCACACAGATACACTTCATTCTCAGGCTGTGCCCTCAAAGGCACAATGAGGGAAGGCATGGGGGCGGGAAGCAGAAGGTCATCCATGCATTTATGCATGCTTTGGCCAGGGGCTGGTAGTCCAAAATCTGATTTTTCCACTGACAATCGTAAGATTGTCAACCATGATTAACAAAACGTTCTAATTCTGATTTGCTGGAATTTGCCCTCTTAACGGAATCTTGGCATTGCTAAATGCAAAACAGTTTGCTCTGCAAGTTTGCAAAATCAGCTGGCAGAGTTGGAGCCTTTCCCCTGAGGGAAGCCACTCGGAGGACCCGACTATCAAGGGCTCGGTAGCTGTGGCACCTGAACCGTAGGAAGAGCCCGCCTGCAAATAAAAGAAAAAGTGAAACACACAAACACACGTTGTGTGCCCTAAAAGAAACAAACCAACTGAGGTCCGAAATGAAAATTAAGAATTGGACATGCTGGTGGAAGAAAAAAGGAAGAATTAAAAAAAAAAAGTAAAGTTAGTGAATTAAAAAAAAAAAAATTCTAGCCCCAGTCTGTGCCAACACGGACATCTGGCAATCTGTGGAGTTTTAATTACCTCTTTACGCCATAGGCCATATTAAGCAAATTGTCCAGCCTGCAAAGAGAAGGAGGGTCTCTGGGTTAATGCCTCACAGATGGCAAGATCGCTCAATGGAACTATTAATAAGAATGCTCCATTTTCAAAGAAGAAAAGCTCAACCACTTGCCCCAGTGCTCAGGAGCCTATCCACCGCTTTCCTGCCTCCATTACAAGGAATTCGTGTTCAGGTCAATGCTGGAGTTTAAAGCAAGTGTCTAATGAATCTCCCTTTCTTTCAGGGCCTGAATGAATCCCGCCCCCCACCTTTCAGGGCATTTGTGTGTACTTTATTTTACATTGTGTGTGAAATTGTTAAAAGAGGCGGCTTCTTAAGTTGTTCACATTTTATGATAGTGAAACTTGTGAATAAAGGTCTCATATGAACAATTCATGCACACACACAATGCATATCAGAATGGAGCTTTTCTCCTAGTCTAGCTACATTAACTGAATCTTCTTATTACACACATTTTGGGGGGCGGGTAGGAGGAGTTTTGAGGTTAAGATTTTTTTAAAATCAGCTTACTATTTGCAACCGGAAAACACCTCCCGGTAAACTGCTATTCTGTTATAAGCTATTATCTCTCTCATGCTCAGCACCTTTTGGGGACAAGCTATTCACACCACGGGGCAGTAGTAACCATAGTTTCCGCCATTAGAAGCCTGCTGGAAAGGCTTTTTACATAAACACTGCATGTGCTCTCGCACAAAACAAAAATTAGATGACTTGGACTCTTTGTGAAATCATTAACCATTTCCCATTCAAGGGCACGGGAGGACACTGCAGAGGCTGACTTTTCTTCTCATTGTGGCCAGATGGAAGGGCGGGCTCTCTCCCCATGTGATGTTTGAAAAGGAGAAGAACCTTTCATTAAAGGGAAGTTGGGACATGGTGGAGTAAAATAATTATTTAGAATTATTATGGGTAGGTCAAGAATATTCTTATCACTTGCACAGTGGAGGCCGTTCAAACTCAAACTGCCTTCCTGGAGAGAAACCTGCCTTTCAGAACAGTCCCAGGAGAAAGGGAATGCCCCCCTTGCACCGGGAGCTCCCCAGGGGGTGGGGTACCTAAAGGAAACACTGATAAGGCTGGGACACATCTTCCTCATTTTCCCAGGGACTGCTGACGTCATAGTGAGAGCAAAGTTAACACAAACGGGAGCACCCCTGCGCACCTAACCCAGCAGGTACCTGCAGAAGAAAGAGGAGGACAGGCCAACCCACTCTCTCTGGCAAGGATGCGCCTCCTGACCTGCTCTTTCCTTTGACTTTATTAAAGCCACTGCCTTAACCTTAAGTCTACGCTGCCAAATTCAGTCACATCTGTGATGAACTCTTGTTGAACCTGAACCTTATTTGGTTAAATACGGAAATTCGTTTTAAGCCAAGGAATCTGCAGTTTAACCTCAGTCATGGTGGTAAGTTGAAAGGGGGATTGGAAGATCCAATCATCTCATTTGATTGGAGTGAAAACTGAGGCTGGGGGGAGGGGACTTTGGCACAGTGATTCCAGGAGGCAGAGGTTCTTACCCTTGCCCCATCCTTCAGGGCCATGGGCTTCCCTCACCCTCACCCAGCTCTGTACCCAGGTAGCAAGGTGAATGGGCACGTGGGCACCCCTACCTGAACCTCTGGGCCTGGTGGTGAAGCGGGCCAGGGTAGCGCCGGTTGGGGGACTGGTAGAGCTGGGAGAGCAGGGCCTGGCTGGACTTCTGGCTGGGGTTGTTGGCAAACTTCACAGTAATCGGTTCTGTAGCACCGCTGGGCTTCTGGCCGTTCAGCCCTTTGATGGCTTCTTCTGCCTCGATCCTTTTATCAAAGCGGATGAATCCCACCCCTCTGGACACTCCTGGGGAAAGAGAAAGAACCTTAATAAAGAGTGAACAAACCAAACTGGTAAGAAACCCTCCAGGAAGAAATGGGCTGGGCCCCAAGGACATTCCATGGGGAATCGGCCCACTGATGGGGCCAGGGCTGAGCCTGGCTCCCTGAATATCACACACCCACCAAAACGCATCTGCCTGCATTTCTGCCATCATGGCTTTGAACAGGTAACTTCCACCCACAGAACACAGGCATCTCTCACGTCTGCCACTTCCAGCTCTCCTACACCTCCCTGCTCAGTCTTCATCTCCCTGTAGTTGCTGTGACTGATCACCCACTGTCCAATTTCTCACCCTCCAGTGGATCCTCCACAGCTAGCAACCAAGTAATCTATTTGAAGAGCAAACTCTGGCCACATTACACCCTTTAAATTCATTTTCTATACCTTTTTTTTTGGTATCTTTTCAAGTTTTTACCTTGTGCATGGTCTCTGTTCCTCATTGCCTTCCACTCCAAACACAAAATAACAAATAGCCCCCACCCCACCCCAAACCCTTCCATGGCTCCATGTTGCAAATAGATAAAGTTCAGGCTTCTTGGGGTGGCATTTAATATCCCTGATGATCCTGCCCCCAAACCCCTGTTGAGCCTCAGGTCAGCCGTGCTGAGCTGCCAGATGTTCCTAGGACAGGTTGAGTTCTTCCTCGACTTCATGCCTTGACTTGCGCCCTATTCGCCTATGCCAGTGATGGCGAACCTTTTGAGCTTGGCGTTGACTTCATGCCTTGACCTGCGCCCTATTCGCCTATGCTATAGGACGCATCCTATCTGCCTGCCAGATAACTGCAAGTCATCCTCAAAATCCCTGTTCAAACTTTGCATCCTCAATGGAGCCTTCCCAACAATTTCCAGCAGGCACAGCGCGCCTTCTCCTGAGCTCTCACGGTGCACTGGACAGCCTCTAGCAGGTGCCCGGAGCTCTCATGGTGCACTGGACAGCCTCTAGCAGGTGCTCATCACACCGGAGTCCAGTAAGGACTGTGCCTCCTCCACCCTGGACCCCAGGGTTTCCTTCGTCTCTGGACCCTGTGGTGTCCCTCTGCAGTGTCTGTGGCACAGCAGCTTCAATGAAGGTTTGTTGCATGACTTGAAGGAGAAGCACATGCTGAACTGCTTCTAGGGGATGTTTTAAATTGAGAGCGAGTTGGGAGGTGAAAACATTTTGTCATTAAAAATGAAATCTGGGGGTGCCTTGCATTTCTTACTGAGAGGTGGTGGTTGCCCTTCTTTAGTGTGGACCAAGTCCCTCAGTACTGGACCCTGGATTCATATCTCTGCACTGCTTCTGACTAGCCAGACCGAAGTCAGATCCCCCGCTTTGGACCTCTGTTTCCTCCTGTGTGAAAGGGGCCAGTGTGAAGTTCCCTCTCACTCTGTGGGGGCTAACATCGGGGCTAGAGCGATACCTACAGGTTCTTTTCACACACAAATGTAATGCTACCTGGTTGAGGGTTGAAAGAGACTTTGAAGGTCATATAGTTCCACTCTCAACCCAATGCCTGAATCGTCCTCACAGCCCTGCCAAGTAGATCAGCTGCTGCTGGACTGATTCCCACGATGGAGGCTCCTGCCTCCTGAGATGGCCCACTTTCAATGTGGGGAGTTGATTGAGAAGAAGTCTTTCTCTTACGTCAAAAATCTGTCCACTCATGACCCATATCTTCTACCCTATGTAACCATTACCCCTCTGCTCCTATGGATCACAGGGCTCTGGCTGGTGACACTGAGACACAAGGAAAGGAACGACAAAGAAACACTTAACCTGTGACTTGATCAACCAGGATCCGTGAGGTGATGATACGGCCATATTGCGAGAAAAGCTGCTCCAGTTCCTTCTGGGTCATGGTTTTGGGAAGGCCGCTAACATAGAGGTTAGCATCCCTGATGGAGGCAGAGCTCGGGCGGGCATAGGAGACCTAGGAAAAAACAAGAGGAGCTAAATCCATTAGAGGCAACACCTTCCGAGTAGCGAGACCAAGTCTTCCACCAAGATGAGAATGCCTCATCTACCTTTCTAACTCATGGTGTCCGTTTAAATAACTCAGGAGCTCAGATTTTAGCTTCCCTTGTAATAGTAATGAGAACCAGGAGAACAGCAATAGAGGAACAAAAGGAGAGCTGACAATAACTTAAAACAAATGCACAGATAAGGGTCTCTAAGTGCAGAATAAAATAGCTACTGTATTGCAGCTGTTAAATGCAGAACTACCCACGCTTAGAGTTCTGGAGATTTACCTCCTGGGTGTGGGTGTATAGATGATTTACTGTATCCAACACATAATAATCTTTGAATAAATAAAAAAAACCACCCATAAAATTCTGCTCTGTGGATTTCTCTCCTTGGCACCCTCCCCACCTCACCCCCTTCTTCTTGAGCGCATAAAAGCGATCAGGTTCTCTGCGAGATTTTTTATGTTCCATCCTTTGTGCTGCTCCAATCTGTTCCCACAAGGTCTGCTCTCGCTGAATGACAAAGCGCTGGTGAAATGGGGCTGAATGAACATCTGCTTGCAAAACTGGATATGTGACCTTGTCAGAACATCTGCAAGAACCAGTTGCCTTCGAACTTGGAGGCGGAGCAGAGGAAACCACAATAAACACAATGAGGGCGAGGTGGAGAGGAGGGAGGGCAAGGGCAGCAGGAGAGAGATGCGAGCCTCACCGATGCTTATAATAAGTTCGACTTTGTAAATTTGTCCTCCCAGATCTCTCAACTGCTCCCCCCCTCAAAGCTAACACAGAAGTGTAAACAGATCTGAAATTCCATCTGCAAGAAGCCAAATCTGTAGCAGTACACACAAGCAAAGCAAACCCCAGCAGTCATTAATTTTAGACTTTCATTTACTTATTTATTTATTTTTTAAAGAAAACAACATCAGACGTTTGAAATATAATTTACAGCTAGTCTAACAAAAGCACTTTCCTGCTAAAGCTATTTCTGGGGCGGTTATGGCTCAGAATAGATGATGAAAACAGTCATTTCAGAGCACATCTGACAATGTCGGACAGGAAGGGACCTATTTGCCTTAGCATTGTTCAGTTGGGAGTTTTATTTCATCTATAACCAATTTACAAGACTTGCTAAGACTCTAGGGTGTGTGTGTGTGTGTGTGTGTGTGTGTGCAAAAGAAATGGTCCAGGTTAAACTGGACCTCTGGCATTAAGAACTAAAGCTCCAGTAGCGAGGAGGACCTTGTGTCTGAGACAGGGTCTAGCAAAGAGGAACGAGGCATGAGCAGACCCCTCACCATGGCACTCTCTCTCTTTCCATGGCAGAGATGCCAGGTCCCTCTATGGGTTCCACATCTACAATAGATGTTGACTCAACAGGTAAATGATATGAAGGACTAACTTATCTTGCTGATGGAGCAAGGCAGCTCACCTGCAGTGTCTTCACCTTCTAGAAGCTCATGGCTGGCTTCTCCAGGCTCCTCCCCAGGACATGGCTGACAGGCAGAGGGACCTTTACATGGAGGGTCCCGTGTGTGCATTTTTTGGGGTTGGAGGATGAAGAACCAAAAACCCTATGAGACTGTCTGGCCAGGGTGCCACTCCACACGGGGCTCTCCCATGCTGTCTTTTAAGGGACAAAGTCTGGTTATAACCTTGCAAAACATTTCTTTAGGCACGAGGAGGGAGCAGTAAGGAGAAAGAAACAGAAACTTCATGATAATGAAGTTTGTGGTAATGAGAGTCACTCTTGTCGGACCCCTGCCAATTACTGACAAATTATCTGAATGACCTTTGTGTTTCCCTAAAACATACCCTCCTCCCTCTTTGGGTTTGCTCAAGGGGAAAAATTTTCCCACCTACTTCCTCAGCTGCAAATCCTACCCCTCTTTCAGGCGCAGCTCACATGCCACCTCCTCTAATCAGCATTCCCTGATCTCCCAACAGGGCTCACAAAGAGCCGCACCCACAGTACTTAACCTGTCCTGACTTTGACTCACCATCTCTCCATCTAGTCTGTGGATTTCCTTGAGCCCATGGTTGTAAACCTGTGTCTTATTCATCTCTGTGGCTCTAGCTCCCAGCACAGAGCCTGATACCCACGGGGTACTCAACACCCACTGAAAGACTGAATGCACACCACAGCTCACACTGAATGATGCTAACATCAATGGGGTTAATTGTAGCTTGGATTTCTGAGAATTAAGGGGGAATCACTGAGAGTTAAGCATCCAGAACCACAGCTGTGATTCCCCACTAAGCTAAGAGCTAAGGGATAGGCTTCCCATTCTCCAGTGACTGTGGTTGGAAGGACTGAAACAGTGTTGTATGGCTAGACACCATTTAAAGGTCTTCCCAGCAAACATTTCCTGAGGGTCCACTCTGAGCCAGGCACAGTGCTGCATGCTGGGGATATACAACACATAAGGACAAGGCATGGTTTTTTTGCCCTAAAGGATCCCCAAGTGCAATGGGTGCAACAAAGACCACTCAGGAGGTACTCAATAAATGAGTTAAATGGAAGAAGGACTAGTATGCTTATGGACCAATCACCACAATGCCACAAATGTGTGCTATTCCAGGGTGATGTATAGATGCAACTGGAACACAGAGAAGGGAGAGACTAATCTCCCTTTAATTAAGGATTAAAAAGGCCAGGAAGGAGACAGAGCTGAGGTGAGACTGGTGGAGAAACAGGTGGTGTGATAGTGTCAGGGGTCAGGGAATGGTGGCCTGATGATATCACTTCTATTTGAGGACCAACAGGAAGACGAAGGTCAAAGGCTTAGTGTAGGGCCTGCCTGATATCCACAGGGTACATACATGGATTCCCATTAGCTCTGGGCACCCAGAACTGGGGTACAGAGGGGAGCAGGCTGGGACAGACCTGCTGGGAAAAGGAGCTGGCACTGGGAAGCCAATGACACAACCAGAACCATCTCCTCAAAAGACGATTCTGACAGGGAGATTCTCAGTCAAGGAGAATTACTGCTACACACCCCCAGGGACAGGCCCCAGCCACACAGCAGCAGCACGTCCCAAAGGTGAACAGCACCCTGCTTATCTACCCTCTGCCAAGCCAATTCCTGCTGCTTATTTGTTCTCTATTTGCAACCTTACGTCTATTGTTCTCTTAGTTTCCTGTCCAGGAAACATGTAGAAATAGGAGTGGACAAAAATGACAGAAAAAAAGGATCTTCCCACATTCAATATCCAAAACACTCCTTCCAGTATCTAAAAACTTTTCAAATCCCCTCATCCATTTATTAAATCCTCACGGAATGACTACAGGTGGTGGCCCTTTGTTCGGGTGAAACATTTTTAAAGATCCCAAGTCTCAGTTCCTGCAGAGTCAGGCATGGCTGGCTTGTTAACCCCACCGAGCCTAGAGCCTGGGGCTTCAATGCTGGAGGCAGCGCCCTGCAGAAGCCTGTGCCTAAGACCATGGGGATCCAGCTTGCTCCATTCATCCAGGATCTCTGAAGACAAGACTGGCATTTCTAGGCCAGCACTGATCTTGCTCTGGAGCTTGGAAAAAGCTGAAAGGCGGGAGCCTACTCCTCTCTCTCTGGGTAAGGGTGGCCCACAGGGAGAGGAGGATAAATGGCTGACTTTATAAATAATCTTGAGGGAAGATTTGCAGTCACTCCAACTTCCCCATCCCTCTCCATCCCTGCAGGCTCACAGCAGCCCTCCCCCTCCAAGAGTGACAGTACGGCATGGAGCTATGCATCCTGACTGCATCCTGACTGCAGGCAAGTAGTTGACCTTGGGCAAGTCATTATATGTTGATAAGTCTCAGTTTCTTTACTGGTAGAAAGGAGGACAATTCTCCTTTGATGGGTTATTGTAAAGCGTTGAGATAATAGGTTGAATGTGTCTAGCACATACCTAGAATTTAGTTGATAATTAGTAAGTATGATTACTGATGAGTCATACAGGTGTTTGTGGGCCAGCCTGGGACTCCAGCCCTCATTGGGACACACTTTGTAATTTTATCACAAGCAAACATTTGGAACACTGCCAGTGAGTTCCTGTGGAGGCACTGTCCTCGGTCATCCTGGTGGGTCTGGATCGTCCTTGACCACTCCACAGCCATGAAGTAGCCCTAGCACATCCCTACAGGTTCCACTGCTTCCCATCCTCAGAGCGTTTTCCATTTTCCAAAGTGACGTCACAAGGCAGCTCTCAGCGATTCTTGCCAAGGTGGCAAGGCAGGCATTGCCAATCCTCACAGACGGGGCAGCAGGACCAGGGCTGGGGCTGCCCCTTCCCATACAATACTCACAGGTGCCTTCACCTGTGCACTGCCAGGGCTTGGCCTGGGTAGGGAGGGAGGAAGAGCATGGCCTGGGGAAAACCATTTCCTGAATCATCTGGCAACACCTGCTCCTTGTCTGACCCGCCATGGTACAGAAATGGGAGAGGACTTGGAAAACATAAGAAAGGCATCATCTTGGGTGTTATTAGGAAGATAAGATGAGAGGAAAAGCCATCTTCTCTGCCCTGAAAGGGTGTTCCTTCAGGAAAACACTGGCATTAGAAGATCATTCATTTCACCCCTTCCTCAACACTTCCAATGTGTCAGGCCTTGTGCTAGGGGTGAGAGCATCTCTGTTTCAAGGGCCCCACAGGCCGCTGAGGGAAGTAAGCAAACAAGTGAAGAGTGAGACACAGAGGGTTGTTCCTGATGGGGATACTGAGGGGTATACACATTTCATACTCCCTGTGCTTCCTTCCATGTGGAGGGAGCCCCTATAGGAGCAGTGCAGGCCAGGGGAACAGGCGTGCCGACTCTGAATAGGCCTCAGCAAAGGAGATGGGCACATGAGCCTCAGCCGCTGCCTGCTTCCTCCCTCTGGGAGTCAGATGCCAGCTGGAAGCACACTTTCTGCTCCAGGCTCTCAGGTCCTATGGGAGCAGGTTGTGCTCTGATATAGGGAGGCTTGTGGGGACCGGACCACCT